CAGCACCGGGAGTAGCTGCCACTTGACCGGTTTGTCCTTGGGCACGAGCTTGAGCGAGAGCCTAGGTAGGTGTCAGTAAAGGACCAACGAGATGTTACAAGCAGTGACTGACCTTGCGCTGAGTTTCCTGGCGCTGGTGGAACTGTGCCACCTTCTCAGCGAGGGCTTGATCGCGCTCCCACCTCATCAGACTATAATCGCGAGGGGTCTTAACTGATCCTCGAGGCTGGGCGGCCTCGTTAGGCTTCCTCATTGCCGCGGTTTGAGAAGCATGCTGCTGCTTCTGGACGGCTGCCTCGCGCTTCTTGGCCAACTTCCGCATGGCATCGATCAGTGTCAGGTGCTTCTGTTGACGGCGCCTCTCGACTCTAACGGGAGTGCTCGGTCTCCTTCTGGGCACCGGCGTCGTGGGTGGGTTGGGTACAGGCGGCGGCTGGGGTGTCTGCGACTGCGACTGCTGCTGCTGTTGTTGTTGCTGTTGCTGTTGCTGCTGCTGCTGCTGCTGTTGCTGTTGCTGTTGCTGCTGTGCCATCTGGTTCTGTTGCATGATGACGCGCTGAGCCGCATCGATCCTGTTTTGGTAGGATTTGAAGTACTGCGTCTTCTGCATGTCCGATGGCAGACCCTCCAGGTTGATCCACCGCTCGAAGCACTCCCAAGGCGTTCTCCTTTCAGACCCTGCGACGTAGATGCCTCGTGGGGTGAGCATGTTGGAGATGAAGGACCAGTTGTAAGAGTATTGTCTGACAAGCTCTCTGAGCTCATCATCTTCAGCCATGGTCCATTGAGAGGCTTGCCGGCACTCGTAGAACGACTGGAGCGGCATGCTGTATTCAGCGGGAGGCCGGAACTGATGACTTGCATGCAAGCGATCCCGAATCGGTTTCATGTCTGGGTGGAATAGAGCGACCTCGGTACTCAGGGGGGGCACCTTTGCCTTGGTATGACCCTGATCACCGAAAACGATGCGATCTTCATCGTCCTCATCCTCCTGTTCGTAGTTGTAACGGCTCCTTCTCCTGGGCGGGCCATCTGACTTGAGCTTCATCTCACCCTCGACGTACTTGTTCAGAGGCAGCGCCGGCCGCTTCCAGTGCGCGTCCGGGTCCATTTCGGTGAAGTGGGTGTTGGGAACCTTGAGAGGAGGTCCGTACATGGGCAGCTCTTCAAGAAGTAGGTCGGCTGTTGGCGAGCTCCGTAGAGGGAAGACTACGTCATCTTCTTGGAGCGCGAAGATGGCCGAGGGTGCCACTGTCTCCAAGATGTCTTCGTGGAGTTCGTCAAAGTGCTCGGGAGTCGCCACATCGCCCGCAACAAGCTCGGGTGTTGGCTGTGTGGTAAGGAAATCCTGATCCGCGTCTGCCATTACTGCGTCCTCGTCCGGTGCCTGCTGCAGAGGCGGGATGATGGCTCTGACTTGAAGAGCCTTGCGCCCCTCCGAGTCCGAAGTAACCCATTCGGCGCAGGCAGCGGCCAAGTTGCGAGCAACCGCCGTCTTCCACTTGCGCTCCTCGCGGAAGTCGGTCCTCATCCACTTCATCTCCCCAAGCAGGACATCCCAGTGCGACTCTTGCCGAGGAGGTTCAGGACAACGCTTGGGCTGCCGCAGAAGCCACTTGTCCTGCTGCTGCAAATTATACACGCGTCGGAGCACTCGGCATGCTTGGTTGTCCTGTAACGCGATGTTGGCGTCCGTGGTGGAGACCGTCTTGTGTGCCTGGTTCAAGACCACCTCGATGGGTTTCATCCACTTCGACGCCTGCGTGAAGCCCTGGACGAAGAGAGGGACGAAGTAGTCGTCCGCTGGAAGGAAGGCTTCCTGCTTCGGTTCTCTCGATACCAAGCTCTTCTCGGGCGTGTTCTTGTGTGACTTGCCAAAGACGACTGCGGAAACATGCCCCTTGGGCTTGTCCTTGCGGCGGCCAGGGCCGCTTCGTGGTCTGGAGATCGGGGACTGTGGGGTTGAGGTTATAGGGGTAAGGGATGATGGAAGGTCGGTCGTTGCAATCCGGTCTGTCGCCAGATGGCGTGGGGTCTCGCCAAGGATCTCAGACACCGACTTTTGTCGAATGGCGCCGCTGGAGACGCGTGTGACTCTGTGAGAGACGGGCGCAGCCTCAGCAGGTGCAGGCTTCGGCGTACTGGGTGAGGTTTCTTGATCAGTCGTCATCTTGGCTGTCTCGGCCTTCGTAGGGCCGACGGACGCTGCATTGGCCGCGACATCCACGTCCATTAGGTCCGCCTCTGACTCTTGACTGTCCGGAATTTCCTTGGCGTCGGCCTGAGGCTCTGGTGGAGGGATGTCGGCATCGGCAGGCTTTGCCAGCTCATCTGTCGGCTGGACAAGTTTCGTCGGCGCTCCCTCCAACTGAGTCTCTGCTGGAGTCTGTGCCGTGGGTTCTTTGGCGGCAGGCTCTGACGGTTCTGAAGGCGCAACCTTGGCGATTGTCTCCACCTGGGCCTCAGAACTCATGGCTTCTTGAAGTAGCTGGGCCTCGGGGCCCTCGGGCACCCGTGTTTCCTGCTCATCCGTAACCTGCTCAGTAGCACTGGCTTCAACATCCCCAGTCGCCTTGTCGGTACCCTCCGCTAGCGGAACATCGATCCTTGATGCCTCATGGTCTGGGCTCGTGTCGGTGGAAACATCGCGAACGGCTGGCGTGGTGGCGGTAGGTGCTGTTGAGCCAGGAGACGATTGGTTCTCGGGCGCCTTTGCTGGGTTCTGTGGTGCCTGCAGCTTGGAGTCCGTTGTATCCTGTCGTGTCGAGTCGCGAACAGCTGAGGAGCCCTCGACTCGAGGTGTCGCAGTACCCTCCGCCTCATCAACATCCTGCATAGAAACATCTTCGTTTTCTGGCTGTGCCTGTGTCGTCTGGTCGATTTGGGGTCGAGTCTGGACCGGCTGCACCCCCGGCGCAGCGGGTTGGGCGACTGGATCGGCAGGTGGCCGAGTAGATGGCGCGCGGGCGTTTGTGTCCTCTAGATTTGAGGGTTGCGAAGACACGAGCTCGGCGGGCTTCGAGGATGCGACGTGATTCGCGGGCGTGGGCGGAATGCCATTCTGCTGCGAGTGGGCTTGATGGGGGACCGTCGGGCTTTGAGGAGGCTTGGGATGCACATTCTTGAGTGGTTGAGGATGGACCGTCGGGGGAGGAGGAGTAGTAGTCGGCGGCGGCGCGCTCGCCTCGGGCGGATGGGGCGTAGGGGCTGTCTTTCTCTGTTTCGCAAGACCGGGTCTTAGTCTAGGTTGTATGGGAAGGTACTGATTGTCGAAGGGACCGCTCCTGTATCAATGTGTTAGTGACATATCGAGATGCGAAGCCATCGCGCGTCGCGATACCGGGTAAAAACAATCAAATTCCAACCGCAGAGACGTACTTTAGTATGTCGCAGCGGTGCAGAAACTGCAGTTCCGCGGGCGACGTTGTCGGCGTGTTGGGGTTGCCGAAGGTGGCATTCGAGACTCCATGGTCTGGTGTCGCGGACTCGTATAACTGGCGTAGCTTCCGCTTTCGCGACGTCACAATTGAGCTTGCACGAAGTAAGCACGACGAAAATGGGATCAAAATGATCGGAAGGACAAGCGCTATCCGATGCAGGCGAGACTGACTTGAATTCATCGCGTTTTGATCGCAGAAACCTGGTGCGGTCGGCAGGCCCGACCTCAGTCATAGCATAAGTCGCGGCGACATCCGTTTTGGGGGAAAACGGAATGTCCAACGTGTCTGCCGTGGTCGTGCGAGATGAAATCCGCGATTACAAGTGATGAAAATGGCGTGGTGTGGTGGTGGTGATTGATCCCGATTGATGCGGGCTCGCGATGGTGACGGATTTTTCGCTGGTTCAGGGAGGGTGCTGCACGGCCAGTGAAACGACCGAGTGCACTGGTGATGGTTACTGGAATTCTGGGCAAGTACGGCAGGGACGGGCGCGCGGCGAAAGCACGGGCGGCCTAGTAGTCCTAGGTAGGGGGCGGGGGGGGGGCGGCGCGTGTGCTGTGGCTGCGACTTGACTGACTGACTGGGGAAGGGAGGGCCGGATGGGAACGGGGGAGGGGAGGAAGCCGATGTCTGACGCGAAAAATTGTCATCGTTAGCAAAAGGGGTTCATGGGAGGAAGAAGACACTGTGCGCGTTCGGGATCTGCTAGCAGGGAGGAGGGTAATTTGTTGGTAGTGTTGTTAGCTGACAGGGATACTACTGGCCAAGCACAGTGCAACTAAACCCAGCTAATCTCCAAGAGGGTGGTATGCCCAGAAAATTCGATGGGAATGACGGCTGGAAACGGCCTCTGCACTGCACCACCACCGGACGGTCGGTCCTCTTCCAAGTTTCCCACTGCAAGTGGCCTGCATCTCAGGGGCAGCCTCGATAGCCGATCACAGAGATTTTTCAATGATGCTAAGAGCCTTGCGATGGAAACATCTGGCCGGGCAGACGGTTTTCATCGCCCAACCGCACAGACAAATAAATTGTTGCTGGCCGGTCGATCACTAGCCCAACTTTTTTCGTACCTGAGCGACAGCCCTGTGCCAAATGTTCCTACTGTATTTCTTTCATGTCCCCGTCGCCCGAGGGTTTGCGCCAAACACAAGCCCTTTCTGCCATGCCACTGCCCGAGTCGTTCATAAGGCGCCAACCCGGGCGTACCTTTCTTTGTGCATCCACTCGCGCCCGAGCGATTAAGGTTGTCCCGGGAAAACAGCACGAATAGTGTGGTGCATGAATCGTGATGCCTGCAAACACTTGCACGTTTGGCGGGCATTGTCGCCGATCTCGTCCAAGCAACCGTTTCTGTAGAACAGGGCCCCTGGCTTTTCAGTACACCGAAAAAAAATCTCTGAATCATTGATTGGGTGGGTTGCATGCATCAAATCTTTTTACCGACAAGACGATTCATTCCGACTACCTACCTCAAACAATGTATCCTGATGTACATCCTCGGCTATTACGCCTGAATTTCGCTTGGAACACAGCAAAAAGAGAAAAAAAAGTGTGCTGTGCCGAAACACGGGATCGAACCGTGGGCCTTCGCATTTCGCAGATGTACGAGTGCGACGCTCCTGGGGGAGGTTAGTGAATTGTTGGAGGTGGAATCACGGGTGGAGAGACGAACTACCACTGAGCCATTCCGGCCAATGAACAATCTGAAAGGATAAGCGGTTTAAGGAGGATGCATCAACAAGCCCCGGAAGGACCGCGAGTGAGGACTTGTTTCCTGATCAGATCAATCATCAAAACTGAAAGTTTGTGGAAACACTTAAATGAGATTTCGACTCAGAGTGAAGATCTATCTGTCCGTCTAATTACCCACTGACACCCTGCTGATGAAATGATTCGCCCATTCTAAACTCAAGGAAATGATACAGAAGGAGAAGTAGAAGAAGAAGAAGACAACGAAGTCCAGATTGGCTGACTGGAGTACAAATGTATGGCGAAATGCTCATGAAAATCACCGTGCACTGTCGCTGAATCAATCCTTCTTGACCTTGGACCTCTTCGGAACCCGGGCGACCCAGTAGAAGAAGACAGCAGCAGCAATGTTGAACAGGATGTACGCCCAGAGCAGGCCAAAGTCGCGCCACCTGTTGCCAAAGTCGACGTTGATGGCCTGCAAAAAGGTGTTTGTGCTGCTCATCGGGCAGAACATGCATTCCTCGACACTCTCCCCTGACACTCCGACGAGGTGACCGCCGGCTGTGGCCATGAAATCGGTCAGGTACTCGGTGCATGTCGTGCCGTTGGCCGGGGCAAAGCGGAGGATCTCCTCGGTACCGCATTGCACGGGAGCATTGGCGAGGGCGGCACCGAGGAAGCCCTCCACGATGTACGTGAAGGGACTGACGCGGTACATGAAGATCCAGAACCCAGGGAGATCGCGAGGCCCGGCGAGGATACCGCAAAAGACGAACATGAGCACGAAAATGAGGTTCATGACGCCGGCGGCGATGTCGGGGTTGGGCAAACCAGCGATCATCATGTGCGAGAATGTGCTGGTGAAGAGGAAGAATTGCCAGACGAGGAGGAAGACGATGATGCCACGCGAGTGCACCTGGTCTGTCCACTCGGCGTTGCGGTAGAGGCCGATAGGATAATACCAGCAGATGAAGCAGAAGATGGACATTGCCTGCAATGTGCGCGTCAGCATGGATATCTTCAATGACGATGATGGGACCAGAATGCAAGCAAACATACCGAATTCCAGGCAATCTCAACAGTGATGTTGGCGATCAAGAACGACTGCCACGAGTACGACTTTGACGCCCGCTCGCGAGCTTCGTAGAGTTTTCTCTGCTCGCAGAAGACAGGCATGATCTGTTCGACCATTTGACCGAAAATAGTAAGGAACATGAGAACACCGAAGAGCTGGTTCTGGAGACCGCGCATAGTATTTCTGCTGTCCATGATTGACAGGCCGATGAAAAGAGCCTGGGGCGTCGTTAGCAATGTTCGACAAGACTGAAAGGGGGACTTACAGCTCCTGCGGAGAGGACAAACTTGGAGAAGATGTAGGACGGGCTGCGGTAGTACTGCTGGAAGACACGCTTGTTGACCTCCCACAGCTGAGTGGGAAACGAGGCGGCAAATTCAGAGTACTGTGTCGCGTGCTCGTCCTGGCGACCCAGTGACCTCGTGGCGGCAAGTGGCGACGAACACAATCGGGTGAGCTCAGCCTGCACGTCGCGGTATTCGGGGGACTGCCTCCAGACGGTCGGCCAGTCAATGTCGGTGTGAGTGCCAGGAGCAGCGCCGATGACTTCGAGCATGTGCTCGGCCGGGTTTGCCCCAGCGGGAAGGGCAGGACCGCCGTTGCGGGAGAAGTAGTCCATCAGGACCTGCGAGTTCTTCCCAATCTCGCCAAAGTACACGGTTCGACCGCCACGCGCGAGCAGAAGAAGCCGATCGAATCTTTGGAACAGCATCGCTGACGGCTGGTGGATCGTACACAAGATAGCCTGTCCGCTCTTGGTCAATTTCTCCATCAGGTCGCAGATGGACCAAGACGTCTGTGAATCCAGCCCGGACGTGGGCTCGTCCAGGAAGAGGAGAAGTTGCGGACGGGCGGCGAGCTCAACGCCGATGGTCAGCCTCTTGCGTTGTTCCACATTCAGGCCCTCTCCTGGCACACCGATGATTGCGTCCGAGTACTCCTCCATATTCAGGAGCTTGATAACCGTGTCGACGTACGCAACCTTTTCCTTGTTGCTGTAACGAGCAGGCTGACGCAGGATGGCGCTGAAGTTGAGGGCTTCGCGAACGGTCGAGGTCGCGAGGTGAAGGTCCTGTTGCTGGACGTAGCCGGTTTTGCGCTGGAACGAGGAATCGGTCTGTTGTCCGTCGACAAGCATGTCACCCGTGATGACACCCATGGTCACACGGCTTGCCAGGACATCGAGGAGCGTTGTCTTGCCAGCACCAGATACACCCTGCAAGCTTGTCAGTCATCGTGCGCAGGGTCAATGTCCTTCTTCTGGTACTCACCATGAGAGCGGTCAAGGTACCGGGCTTCACCCAGCCGTCGACGTTGTCGAGGATCCTGCGTGGCTCGCCCTTGATCTTGATGTCATAGCAGACATCCTTCCAATGGAAGACGGAAGTCTGGCGCTCGACATCGGTGCTGTCGTCCGTGTCACTCTCCGAGGAATCTTGGGCTTGGCCAGCAGGAGCGCGGGCCCCGAGCTCGACATCGTTGCCGCCCTTTTCCTTCTTCGCCTTTTCCGAGACCGCCTCGCGCGTGAACACCAGGACCTCTCCCTTGGAACGCTCCGAGGCAACATACTCGGTGGCCAACAGGTGCAAGCCCATGAAGAAGAGCATGAAGACGATGACGATGCCAAAGTTTCTCCAGCGGTTGGCATTCACAAACCCAAAGGCACCCTTGAGATACGCAGCGCCATCGACGAAGGTCTCGCCCGGGACCGCGCCAATGACGGTGCAGACCCTCTCGTTCGGGAGGATGGACTCGTATCCAGGGCCAGAGGGAGCGAAGCTCGCGCAAGGGAATTGGCGGCCGACAAACTCGTTGAGGAAGACACTCTCGAGACCGTAGTACATCGGGTTGATCCAACGCAGCCAACCAAGCCACACCTGCATGTAGGCGGGTGGAATGGTAAAGCCAGTGTACAGGATCAAGGCGAGCAGGATGACAGAGGCGGGTGCCATGGCCTGGGCGATGGACTTGGCTGCAACATGCGGAGTCAGTAAAATCCCCTTTCGGCTGATCCGGGGGTAAGAAATGGGCTCGACGAACTGGTAGAACCGATGAGACGGAACATCATTGACATGCTCAGTGTGATGAAGAAGGAGAAAAGCATGAAGAAGAAGTAGGGTCCAGGCTCTCGTCGCAGGTTGCACATGAAGTAGATCGTGGTGTTCATAAGAAGGGCATTTGTGATCTTGTAGGGAAGGTCGCAGATCATGGCAGCGAGCGCCTCGGCGCTGGGGTGGTAGAAGGCGTAGCGGGCGTGCTTTTCGACGATCTTGCGTTTCTCATACTACGACATGAGTTAGTAAAGTCCTATTTCGGGAGTCATTGGGAGCTTACCAGAGTCATGATCTCAAGCATGCTCGCGAGAGCGTTGACAAGGATGACGACGAAGAGCAGGGTGGTGCGACGGAAGAAGCTGGCCGTAGTGACCGGGAGCTTGTAGAAGACGCTGGCAGCGATGAGACCGATGAATAGGTTGCTGATAAGCATGGTGAGAGTGATGGAAGGGTCGCCCTTGAGCAGCTGGAACGCGCGCCAGAGGTTGATCTTGACCTGCTCGACGTAGGACAGGTTAAAGGGCGAGCGACGGCGCTGCATGCTGGACTGATCGATGCGGCGCGATGCTGAGAAGTGCTTGTGGTGCTCGCCGTCAAAGGGATGCTCGTCGACGTAGCGGTCAACCTCATCGAGCACGCTGGCACGGTACTGACTGGCCTTCCAAGCAGCGGCGAACTCGTCGGCGGTGCGCGGGGTCTTGTCTTTCCAGCCAGGCCTGACGATGCGCTCGACAGGGCTGGTCATGGAAGTGAGGAAGTCGGCAGTGGTCTGCTGCTCGGGGCAGTCAAAGCCCAGAGCCTCGAAGTAGGCACGAGCATCGCCAGCCTTTCCAAAGAAGATCTGGCGGCCCTCGTAGAGGACAGCGACCTTGTCAAAGAGCTATGCCAGGAGTCAGTCAAGATGTCAGGGGAGGCAGGGTTGTTGTGGAATACTTACATCGTAGGCGGCCTGGGGGGCTTGGTAAATAGCCACGCAGGAGGTGATACCCATGACATCGGACTGTGTACGCAGGGTGCGGCAGAACTCGACAGCGTTGGCGCTATCAAGTCCTCTGGTACTGTTATCCCAACACTGTAGGGGCGAGTACCCAAGGGCTGCCTCTGCGATGGTGACGCGCTTCCTCTCACCACCGCTGACGCCGCGGACGAAGTCGTTACCAACTCTGGTATTCCTGGTGTGAGAGATGCCGAACATGGCCATGATCACGTCGCGTAGGTGTTCGGCGTAGGCAGCTTTGGACAGGCCGCCGGGGACGAGGTCGGGACAGCGGGAGCGAGCGGCGAAATAGAGGGCATCCCCTACTGTGAGCTGAGGAAAGTGGTGATCCACCTCGGCAGTGTAGATGGCCTCGCCGCGGTACTCCTTCTGCATCTGCTCGGGACGGACACCTTGATAGTTGAGGGTAGCGTCATCAGCGACGTAGAACCCGTGAGTATCGCCAGCGATAGTGCGCAGAAGTGTCGAGCAGCCAGACCCCGGGGGTCCCAGGACGCACAGCATCTCGCCGCTGTTGACGACGCCCTCGAGATCGCGCAGGATCTCAATCCTCTGCTTCCTGCTGCGGCCAACCATGTTGCGGAAGAGGTTGGCGCCTTCTAGGAAAGTGTTGGCGACGGTCTTTTGGTAGTCGGTCGGGGTTCCGAAGCCGTGAACGCTGAGATTCTTGAAGGCCACACCAGTGGTGCGCGGCTCGGTGCCGTCAGCAGCTGTGGTGCGGGAGCGGTAGTAGGCTTGTGCCCACTTGCGGGGATTGAATTGGGAGCTATTCGGATCGAGGGGGCTGTCGGGCTGGAGTGGGAAGAGATGATCGGTGTTGCCGTCATCGGCGCGGCTGGTCATGCGTCTCGCCAGCTGGTGGATGTCGGCATCA